TAAACATTTTCAAAATTATTTAGAATTAACTAAGAGGGATCAACCAATCATTTGAATGATTTACAGCCTTAATACTACACTACAAATATGATTTGTAGACTAATTAATATCTATGTCTAATGTGCACTAACTGAGAAAAAAAAATAAATCAGTAAATTTTACCATTGATAAACCAAATGTACAAAACCTGCTCAGGAGATATTAGAGAGTATGAGGAGGAGAGCTTAAAAGCCACAACTGGTGGGGATGAAGATCTAAGGCAGTGCTTTAAAGCAGGAGGACTACAGTTTTGTCTGAAAACAACCCCAAGCCCAATACCCAGTGTTTTGACCAAACCAATGACTTTGTGGACTGAATAGGTGATTAATTTGGTCTTAGCTTTTTTTAAGAGCTCCTGCAAAATTGAAAAGCTCTGTCCATATTATCAAATTAAATACTCATCCAGTTGCCTGGTGAATATCAGCGGACACAATGAAGGGAAGTGCTTCGGGAATGTTTTCAGATCAGGTTCTCTCACCTGACCAAAGATGTCTGGGAGCTGAGGAAAACAGAAGAATGCCCTTTACCAAACACTATCACTGTCATTAACCTCCCCCACATCTGATCTAATATTCCAGACTGTGCAATGTCAGGATAAAGGGAAGAAAATCCCACTTGTGTTCTTTGTGATGCAAATTAAATATGTGATTCCACTTCCTGATCAAAATATCAAAAATATTTTTACTCTGTACAGATACTGAGTATAGGAAGAAAATTCCATCAAGGGATTCCCTGATTTCCACAGATATCCTTTGTCATTGCACAGGGGAACACCTATCTGCAGTCTGAAAGCACCAGCACCAGCAAAGCCAAAAAAAACCACAACACAAACAAAAAAGTTATACCAGGTGGAGGTTCTCAGCCAGTCTATTAGGGTGCCGATTCTCATTCAGTTGCAACAAAACACCCTTAATGGACTTTTTCTGAACACAGCAACAAAATGTGTTAAAAAGTGTGTGATAAATATATGCACTCCATTCCCTTCACACTGTCTTAGACAGACACATCTGCCATTTTTAAACAGTAAAACTTTTTTTGGCTTGTTCTGCAAATGACCAGTGCCAGTTTCATCAGTTCTTTAATTCACGCACACTGTTCCAGCAAGCCAAACTGAGCATCATCTATAACTACAGCATCAATGATAATAATGACCAGCTTTTTAAAAAACAAACAAACAAAACAACCCCCCCCAAAGATCAGGCCTACTTTCATTTTTTTTTTTTTAACTGTGTGGCTTAATATAGGAAAACCACAATCAACAGTTGTATGGGATACATTTAGCTTTCATTACCTGGATTCCCGGCTGTTCCCAGAAAAGAGAAATGGACCCACGGATCTGTATGAAGGATGAGACTTTATCATCCAGGAAAATAACCTGTTCAAAACAAGATTACAAATTTGGTTTAGTGTATAATGTAACATTTTATGAAAAGAAATTAAATCCTAAAATAAGTAAGATGGGAAAAAAACTAAACAAAAAATACACATTGTATAAAACATCCATCTGCATAGGTGTATACTCGCGTGTGGTTTGTAGCTGAATTTTCAGGAAGCAAACGTAATGTAAAGCAGAAATCATAAAACAGACTATGTGTCGTTATAGGGCATGAGCACAACCTGTCAACACATGTTTGATCCTCAGCTTTTTACGGTGTCATTTTTATGGCAAGTATAAGGTTCCAAAAACTTTAACAGATTTCACCTGCTCAGTTTCCACAAAGTTGGCCACTTGTCCATCATCATTTGTTCCTCGGACATTGAATCGCGTGCCAGCACGCTCTGAGCTTAAGCGTGAGAAGATGCATGCCTTGGCTTGTTTGTGCCCTGCATAGATGGTCCTGATCTCCACACCCCCACACATCAGCCTCAGCAGCCAGTCGTCACAGTTTACACCGTAATGTTTTAGGTGCAGATGCAGAGATTGATTCCTAGTGATTCACAAAGTCAGATGTAACCGTAAACACAGAGAGCAGTTTTGCAAATCACAAAAGTTCCCCATATCACAAAATGAGAAAAACCATAAATTATAGCATATCTATAATGTTGGAACAGTAATGCTTTTAAGTTCCTACCAAAAGAAGCGGTTATCTGTAGTGTCTTCTATGATTCTGCGATGTGCATTAAGACTCAAGTCCATGCTGACTCCAGTGGAAGACCAGGCAAAGTAGAAATGTCCTGAGTTTAGGACCTTTCGCACCTCAGCAATTCGTTCCTCATCTCCTGGATCATTCTTCAGTGATATAAAGTCTGTCTGCGTGACCCTGAAAACTTCTGAATCCTGCACCTTGCCCACAGAGCTACAGCCTGTCACAACTACAAGACTGTGGAGCATGGAGTCACCTGTGAAAAAAAAAATGTGAATATGAAAAAAAAAAATTACCATATTTAGTGCATACCCTTCTCTTATTTCCAGTTTTCATATTGGTTTTTTTTTTTTTAATTCTTTGACACTACTAAGATATCTTTCCAAGTTCAAAATAATTCTTTATCTTATACTGGGTATGGGTGAAGCTCCTCAGTTCATTCACTATCTGAAGCAAGCCATTTCAGCTACTCTCCTTTAAAAGGACAAATTCCCTTTAAGCCAACTATCATTTGATGGGCTAGCAAACAAACAGACTGAACAGCAGGTGGGTGGGGCTGCTATGCTCACAGCCAGAGTTGTGTGCCTGATATCACAATATGAAGGATATTCTCTCTTTCTGACATCATGAAGATGCAAGAGTAGAAAACAAATTCCTGGATATCAAATGTTTAGAACTTGATAATCTGACCTCACTGTTTAAAACACAATTTTAATATTAGCATCCACAACTGTAACATTATATATAT